TCATGAAGCTCTTCACAAGTCAGTGCTGCAACACAGATACAGCCAGAGAAAACACATCTCAACAAAATCTGAGCTCCACTGGAGAGTTTGCCAATTTAACAGAAAGCCAATTTTCCCCTCCCTCCCCCGACTGTTTTCAAGGACTAGACCATGTTGTTTGCTGGTTAACAGTAAGAATATCAACCCCTTGTCTAGGGACCAATGGATTATGACACTCCACTCAAATCGCAAATAACTTCTTTTCTTGAAATAAAAGTTCCAGTTTCTTTCAATAAAGGGAATAGTGACTATTTTCCTTCTCCTGACACCCCTTCCCCAAAATTATTGGTTAAAATACAGCAAGGCTGTATCTCAATAAACCCATCCCCCCCTTCCCTCCTTCCCCTTCCATTACTCGTCTACAGCAGAATTTAACAATGCTTCCACACAGAGGCATTTCAGCAACACAACGTTAAACTGAGCAAAACCTACAGCCTAATCTGCCAAAAGCCTCCTTGTGAAGTTCGGATGCATGCTCTTTGGTCCAGAGACCTGGCTTATTACAAAGATAAGCTGTGATTCCAAAGAGATGGACCAGAAGTTCACAGCAACCAGGAAACTCCCGCCAGGGACTACAGTTGCCCAACCTCTACCATGGCAGCTGTACTGCTAAGAGATTCTGGGAACAAAATTCACTTCGTCTTTAGAAAGCAACGACCAGCTGGCCCCAGCAGAACTACAGAGTTCAGCACCAGGGCAAGAACCACCACAACGGTAGCTCAGGAGTCATGGCATGGCATCTCTTTAACCTCTCCTACAGAAACTGAGGCAAGACAGACATCTGCTCAGATTCGCATCCAGTCATTTGTAAAGAGAAACGGTGTTTGAAGCATTTTTAAATCCTTGGAGTAGACACCCTCCCCCCATCCCAAATGAAAATAAACAGAAGATCAGAATGAGATGATTTGATACCACCATATACACAACATGAATTCATGTTGAGCTTCCCTGTTCTTACCCACAAAAACAATCACATAGGGCAAAGGAAAGATGCTCCCATCTCATTCTGGAAACTGAAACATGTATTTGAGACCAACCCACCCCCCTCCCTTTGGGAAAAGACCTCCAGCAGCTGCGGTGCCCTCCAGCACACCCAGAGACCACCCTAGAAGTTCTCTCAAGTGGCTGAAGGTTCCATTACTCTTTTCACAGCCACCTCACCCAGCTGTAAAACTCCATTTCACAGATTCATGGAGTGACACTTTTGACTTCTGAGTAAAACAGTGTAGAACACATCAGGTTCTCATTCACATCAACTTTGTCAGAGGAAGCATTTGACCTAGGGTTCATCACCAAAGGCTCCAACTAATGCATGTGTAAAGGCTGGTACATGACCAGCAAGAACTGGAGCTCGCAAGGAATCTCAGGAAGCCAAGATTTATACACACTCCTTACTCTTGGATAGGGAACAAAACAACCAAGAAAACTCCAAAACAAAATAATAACAAAAACAACAAACAAAAAAAAAAAAAAAAAAAAAAAAAAAAAAAAAAAAAAAAAAAAAAAAAAAAAAAAAAAAAAAAAAAAAAAAAAAAAAAAAAAAAAAAAAAACCAAACCAAAACAAAAAAAAAAAACTAGGATTATCCTAGTCCTTTGGAGCATCTTTCCATTTGCAAGATCACATCTGTTTGAGATAGCCTACTAGCACCAAAAATAGGCTGCTTCCTTCTTGACAAGAAGCCACCTAAAGATGGTGCCCTGATAGTTTACGTTAAGTGCCAATCCTCAACGAGAGGCCAAGTTTAAAGTAATACTTTCAAAAGTTCTGTGCTTCAAGAGGGACCATCAACGCATGGCACCAGGCTAACCTACCACAAATCCAAGCAGAGCACACACACCTGACTTGACATCGCTATCCTGTTCTTGGTACATGTGCATGCCCTGGTAAGATACAAAACTTATTTACATTTGTCATGTCTTTGTTGCACTAAAATGATCCCTCTTCTGTCTGGAAAATCATAAGCTGGCTGCAGTACAAGAGCAAGATTTTACTTTTGGTCAAAGTTACCACCCACAAACTCCCACCCCCCACCCCCAGAAGCACCCCAAAATTGTTTACATTTAGTACCTGCCAGTCAGACATAAGCTGTGTGGTTCACAGAGTGTCTGTGACCAAGCTCTTGAGTTTGTACTTAGTGCAGCATTTGCTACAATTAAGGAGTCACTGCTGACAAAAGGAAGAAAAACATCCCAAACACAAAAACCTTTCCATCTTAAAAAGTTGTTGTCAGGAGGCACCTGGCTTGTTCTGTATGATCCTCAAGGAAACAGATGGCTAAAGTCTGCCTTGTTGTTCCAAACAATTTTACTCCAATTCAAAAAAAAAAAAAAAAGAAAAAGGGTAAAAATGGGAGAAATTAAGACAATTCCTGCCTCAAAGGTAAGCAAGCATGGTGAGTGCAGCATCTGTATGTGCAATAAACAAATGAGCAAAAGGGATTGCATTCATCCAGGTGCCTCCTGACAGTGGTGGTGAACAGGCTAAAAGGGATTTTTAAAAGAGTAGTTTTTGATTTGTCTCACTCCTTTTGCCTGTAGATCAGGCCAAACATCAAGCATGTTGGGAGGGGCACAATTTAAAGCAACACCAACTTGACTAGATAGCACTTTTCAGCAATATACAGTGCAAAATGACAGACAGCAACTCATGCCAAACCAGAGGAGATGGCAAGCAGCTTCCTGCCGCTTCTGACGTTAACAGGGGTTTGCCCTTACCTGCTTACAGTTCTGCACAGAGGCTGCTCTGGGCAGAAAATACACAGTGCTGCAGGAAGTGAATCAATTCCATAAAGCTCCAGAACTGTCAGTTTGTGCATGTAAACTGGTTTTCTATTGTCTCTCAAACCCAAATCCACATCTTAAGCATCTATTGCTCAGCAATTCTGACACCCACTGGATTTCCCTCCCACCATGGTAGAAAACAGGTCATGGCCCCCTTCAGAGTTTGTCAAGCTCCTGAAGTTTCTAAGGGGGAAATCAAAGAGCATCTCCAAAAAGGCTGAGCTATGGATTTGGAGACCTCGGAGCCCCCCAAGTGATCTCTTCCATACAGGTGGTACAGGACAGTGTTGCCAGCACCAAAGTACACGCACACTGACAAGGGACACTTGTGGAGGCCTGCACTTCACAGAGGTCAGAGCACTTCTTGCTGTTTAGTGTTGCAGAAAACTGAGCCCCTCTCATCTTTAGCTGCTCCCATAATCAGTCTAATCCCTTTAACCCCAGCAACCTTCATCACAAAAGAAAAACTTATATATGAACCCAAACAGAAAAAAAAAAATATTTACAAAGTTTGTACAATATACACATCTGATTTTCTATGGGACACACTGCACCAGAGGAAAGAGGGCCATGGCTCTGAAACAAGTCTACATATCAAGTGCTGTAACTACTAATGGAGACCCTTATGGAAACCAGTCTTTAGTGTTCTGCTAGAGCACAGGGCTTTTCTTATGGCTCCTGCAAAGGATGACAGGCTACTCTTTCCTTCTGGAGCTATGATGCTGCACCTAATCAGCCCAGATTTTAAGTTGGTTTCATTTTAAATACAGATATTTACAGTTTGGGTGAACTGCAGATGCATATCAACTCCTCCAGTTAAAAAAAAAAGTTGAAGAAAAAAGTAGTATTACCAATACATTTCACCTCCCAGCCCTGGGCTTAAGTACTTGGGAAGGAGGAGAAGGGGAAGAGAGGGGAACTTTGACCTGAAACCAAAAACGGCTGTTGATTCCTTGGGCTGTGTTGGAAAGGTGATATTCTGAATGGTCTCATAGCATAAGGCACTTTGCACGAATAAGTAACAAGCTCTTTAGCTTAAAAACAGATGAGTAATCAGGGAGAAGTTGAAATGCACTCAGTCGATGGTTGAAGAATTTGAAATAGCAGACAAGCTCGTGTTCATCAAGATTCTTCTCTTTTCAGGGTTTCTCTTCTTCCCTTGCTGCCCCTCCCACCCAAAGAAAACAAAATTTAAAACCAGCAGTTAGTGCAACTAATGTTCAATCAGCACACAGTGCAAACAAGTGGAAAAACAAAAAGACATTCCTCCTTTTATCTTCTTTCTTCCTTGCTGCCAAATTTAAAATAAAAAAAAAGGCCGAGCTCTTTAGTCTTCATAGTTTCGAAATGAAAAGACGAAGAAAAACCCACAAAGAGAAGGGTATCCCCAAAGAAACGATGTGTCACAGATCTGGATCATAGGGCTTCACCTTCTGGCATGTGTAATCAAAGCCTACAAACAAACAAACAAAAAAAAAACCACAACAACACTCACAGTTAAATCATTTCTATGTGAAACTAGAACGTAAGAGATAATTCACACTGACTATGTACCAGCTCTGAAAAAGCAAAGGGCACGCTGAACAGCTCAACCTCAGCCTCAGCTTTGCAGAAAGAGGTGCTGCTAATGCTCTATTGTACTTAGGAACACAATTACCTCCTAGTTTCTTGCCTTTTAGGAAGCAGAAAACTGTTCTCTAGCAAGGTCAGCATATTCTCCTTAAAGAAGCCACCCAAAAGCCTGTTCCAAGTTCATCACTTATTTTTGTTTGGGTTTTGTTTGGTTGGGGTTTTGTTTTAATTTTCATTTACTTATGAACTTGGAAGAGGCTCAACCAGCAAAACAGAGGCTTGCAAGTCAGCTTGCCACGACTGGCTAAGGCTGTCCTTGATGATTTCAAAGAAGGGACCATAGCTCATTCTAATACTATCAAGCAGTCTGTTTCTACAGCCACTATTTTTTTTAGTGGTCACCTGAGGCAAATTTCAGCAGCTTCACTTTCTAATTCATGATCTCTGAGAAGAATACACAAAAAAATTATTTCCAGCCCAAACCGTATGGTGTCGGATCTTGCATGACACAGCATCTTAACTAAGGCCAGATCAAACATCATCCTGCAGCTACTTTGCCTGACTGCAGTTCAGGGCAAGTGGTCTTCTTATAAAAGGACTCCGCAGTTTTTTCTCAGACAACGATCAGAAAGGGAGCACTTAGGAGCCTCCAACAGTGCAACCTCATTATCTTTTAAAACTATGTAGGCGACCTCGAGTGGCAGCAAAGATGTATTACAGCTTCGCTCCCTACTTTGTTCACTTGCAGGAGTTCTATGAACCAAAGGATACAAAAGAGGCAGCACCTTTCGCTGGAACCTGCTCCTTCTGACTGGTGAGGTGCTTAGCTCTTCTGTTGGTGCTCTGTTCTCACAGCTATCCATTTTCTCTCCTCACCTTTCTGAGGACCACTTTCCTCTCTGCCCCTCACCAATTTCTCATTTTAGCTAAGCAATACAGAAAGAATTCCTTAGGCTACTAGTATCCCATCATGGCTTCTCCCAACAGCACTCCCCCCTCCCCTTTCTCTCGTTTTTGGTCTCCTTAGCATATGGTCAGCATTTAAATTAAAACAATTACAAAATACTCCTCCTCCCCTTCCAGTTTAGCATGCCCACAGAATTCCTTGCACTGACAGTCTATTTCAAACCCTTGTTTTCACATTCAGAGCCTTTTCATCACATCAGTTTTGCTTTTCCCCTGTGCTAATACCGACATATCAACTCTCCTTTCATCCCACACAATGCTGGCATTCAGGAGGAACTCACAAACATACATGTTTACTGTTTCTCATCTTCTACAGGTTCACTGTGGTATTCTGCCACATACAGGCTCTTGTCAATGTTGCTTGGTATGGGTTTAATTTCAGTTCCCAGCTGCTCCTCAATACTTTTCAGGTTGAATCGATCATCATAGGTGATCAAGTTGATGGCCAAGCCAAGATGACCAAAGCGACCTTGACAAAAAAAACACAAAACAAACAAACAAACAAAAAAAAAAAACCACACACATCTGAACTGAACTGAGTGACAGAGGGTTGACAGAAAAAGTCTACAGACTGTGAAGTTAACATTGCTTTCTGATGCTAAAAACAAATCCAGCTGCAGGTCTCTACACATTTCACATCAGTTTTAGGTGAGGAGTTTCATACTGCTGTAGGAACAAGAAAACTCAGGAGGTTCAATATGCTCTGACCAAAGCTCCAAGTTAATTATCAGAGAAAAGTCTTCCACTCCTGCATCATGGACATCCAGCCCTTCTTCATCGTTTTTGAGCAAGCCTGAACTACAAAGTTCAAGTATACTGAGTTCCTTTGTTCACTGCGTTCCTTAAGGGTATATTTTGCTGATGGCCAGTCAGTAGAAACACACCTCAGAATACATGCAGAAGAAAGCACAGATCTCTACGCTTGAGACCTCCTGGAAGCTAAGTCTCCAGTACAGAATTTTCTCTGCAAACAGGGGCAGTAGAAAGTCTTCTGAGATGAAAGCAAAATAAGCCTTTATTTTTCGTTTGTCAGTCAGGTCAGTTTCAAGAGAATGGGCCTTTATTTAGATAATATCCTCAGTGAGGATATAACCATCTGAATGATACCCAAAAATAAATTTGTCAGAAAATAAGGTAATTCTCAGATACAGTAATAAAAACCAAAAGTGAATTCACAGCTAAGAAGCATTGCAGTCATCAGCAAAGTTGCACCTAAAACACATCTTTCCTCTCACCTGATCTGCCAATGCGATGAAGATAAGTCTCTGCCAGCTTTGGGAAATCAAAGTTTATCACCACATTCACAGCCTGGATATCAATACCTCGGGTAAACAGATCTGAAAGATAATCCAGGTCACGAAGAAAGTTAATTTCAATGAGATCAAATCCTGACAGTATTTAGGGTGCAAAGATAAACAGTGATTAACATTGCCTCACACTATTTTCCAGATATAAGCTTTCTTTGTATCAAAGACAGTTTACATACAATCTTGTTACAGCTTCTTGCTCTGTATTCATTATAACCATGAATAATATAAGAAAAACTATCAAAACCACCAGATCTGCACATTAAGCTAGTTTTTTCCACATCAGACTACTTCAGTGCAGGTCTTCTTAAATAAGCATCTTCTCACACAGGATTGTGCACTGCCAAAGTCACAACAAACTTGAGACCTGAACTACATCCCACTACTTCAACTACTTCTGTTCCATTTCCAGCAATTTTTGTTAAGACAACTCAGACATAGCAGTGACTTGTTAAGATGACCCAGTGATAGCAGACACTGCCGGGTACTGCCCAAAGAGGCCATAAAAATAGAGAACTTGCATCATACACAGGCCAATCAAAACTACAAAAGCATTTAGAAAAAAAATGAGCTATGACCACCTAAATAATCAACAAAATTTATTCACATGATCCTAGTCAGAGTTCTACTGATATTTCATAAAGTTTATGGCCCAACAACTCAGGGAGCCCTTGCATGTGAAAATAAACAGAAAACACTATTGCACTGAGATGACTTGTTGGCAAAGGTATACCTTCACAGTTTGTCACAAAAGACAAAACTCCACATGCCCAAAGGAGTGCTGCATCCTGCAACGTGCAGGCTTCACAAAGACATCTACCAAAACACCTTGTTTTGGTTTATTACAAATAATTGGTCTATTATACCTGGGACACTTTCTACCACATCTTTTAGAAAGAGGGAAACCTTGAGCAGCTCTTACCAGTGCAAACGAGATTGCGGCACAAGCCATTCCGGAAATCGTGGAATACACGATTGCGGTGCTCCTGGAAATACATACATATAAACAGAGAGGAAAAAAAACAAAATCCACAAACCAACCAACCAGGTATATTCAAGTAACAAACACCGAACCTCAATCATGCGAATCTCCCAGTTCTAATTAGAAAACAGCTGAGTCAAAACAAGCTGCCAAGTATGTATTTTTTTAGCACTCCTTCACCACGTATTCTAAAGAACTTAGCCAAGAGAGGGCGCTGATCCCACTTTTTGACAAAGGCACTTAACTGACTGCATTTTAAAGCCTCCTACAGCGGCATCAAAGCCATCTCAGAAAACCGCCATCTAAAGTTACAATTACATGAAACCCACACCAAGGAAGTTAAACTAGTATTTTGACTATTGCCTTTCCCCGGTCCCTTGCCGAATTTAAGACATTTTATTTGTTCCCTTAAAAACTGAAGTCAGCAGTAACTTCCTTTTCTAGTATGCAGCATTTTTCACTACTGATGCAGAATTAGGTGTGGGACAAATCAATTTTCTGGGAAGACTCTCCTCACACAAAGAGTAAGTATTATCACTGTTAAGAAATAAAATTTAGAGAGAGAATGAACAAGCTGAAGCATTTGGCAAAAACACAGCTGCACTTTGCCACAAAGTTCATCTACCTAATCAAAAGCATCTACCTACTAATCAAAAGCATACAAAAATCAGACTTCAAGGATCCTGCTTGCATATCTCTCTGTTCTCAATACCAACACCACTTCTATTTCTGCTTAATTAATTACTGGTCTGGCCCAGCAAACACTGACATTACCTGTCAATTGCATGAGCAGCAAGCTAGACTACAGTGAAAGTTTTCATTCGAATTTGTTTTAATTATAAAACGAAAAAAATGGTTCAAAATACTCCTGTTCTACATGCATCACTTCAATCTTCTGACATCTTTTAATACCATGTGAGGTATTGTGAGGACATGTGAGCTACCATGCAATTAAAAGAAACCTCTTCATCAGCAAAGCTGCAACAGAATTTTTCATCATCTACACCAAGGTCACAAGTGCCTGGTCCCCACACAACAGATGCAGCTTTCTCCAAGAGGTTCCATCAAAGCCACCTCCTTGACTTCTCGGATTCCCTTGCAGTCACAGCACAAGATTACTGTTCGCAAAGACACACATGGCACTCGGTGGGCTAAGTATTGGGGTTTTTGTCATTTGTTTGACATCAGGCCTATTTTCACCTGTGTCAGTTACACTGTGTGGCCTACCCTCGTTCCCCATGCTGCCAAAGCAAGGTGGTAGCAGCACTAAGAAAGAACTGTGCCTTCTGGCTGCAGTCTGTGCTCACACTGGACAAATTACCCTGACCTGAAGTACTCTTAAATACCAACTGGCCAGCTACACTGAACAGTCTGGAAAGACGACTGGGACAGGACAACATAGCAGGGAGGTTGGCAGTAGGTATCTAAAAACAAACCTATAGCAAAGCAATACATGTTTCAGTTTACAAAGAACACGCAAAATTAAAGAAAGCGTAAGACTTAATTCAGCTACACAGTAAAATTGGGGCAGTGTGGAATAAACCACTGCAGATTTCATACTCACCTGCCTCATTTTAGCATGTATATAGAAGCAGGAATAGCCCAGCTGGGAGATCTTTTTGGCTAGCAATTCAACCCGTTGAGAGGAGTTGCAGAAAATGATCGACTGGTTAATCTGGAGCTGAACATATAAGTAGAGTGCTCAGTAAATGCAGCATTTTACTAACAAATGACCCCAGACATGTCTAACTTCCTTCCATAAAGAAAGCATGACAGGTATGCTGCTAGTAATTTACATAGGAAGTATTTTTGTACAGAGGGGAAAAAATTAACAAAATTCTGTAACATAAAGGTGCAGGACAAGAAGAATGCATTTTTATCTTCAGCTACATAACACATTTTAACAAAGAAAATGTTTTGTTAAGCCACCCTTGAAACACTCAGGCTTATTCTTAATTGTGAAAGGAAAAAAAGCTTCAGTATGTTCCTGACCCACCCCTATTGCTTACCCTGGAAAAGAGCGTGTTGAGGCAGTGCACTTTCTGACGCTCAGTGACATAGGCATAGTACTGAGTAACTCCCTTCAAAGTCAGCTCCTCCATAAGATTAATCTCGTAGGGTTTCTGCAAATGGGAATTCTGAAAAATAAAGATAATGACAGATTTACATGCAAAACAATGTAAATACTTCCCACCCTATGGCACATTTAACTCCATGGCAAGGATGCACTACCTCACCACTCACTCTTTGTGCTGTACTCTAAAAGACAGGGTGGGTAAAACTTCACAAACGATTAGTCATAAAACCAAGGCGACTGAGTAGGCCCAATAGGAGCACCCTCTGGGAGCAAATGCATGCAGATGACACATAACCAATCCACAAAGTGGGAAACATCACCTTATGCGCAAGAACTGCATGTACATAGCTTCCCATTAATGCTACTGCAGGTCAAAAACTCCTTTCAAACTCCTGTCCAAGACTTAGGCTGATTTAGATTAAACCTGTGAAGTTTAGATGCACTAAAAAAAAACCCAAGCACTAACAGCTGTGTATCACTCACACAATGTCACCACCATTGCATCTACACGGTATGTCCGCACTCACCATGAACTTCTGTACACTCAAAGGGAAAGTGGCTGAGTAGAGCAAAATCTGTCTGTTTTTAGGTAGCGTGAGAATAATATCTTCCATTATTTGAACAAAATCTTGAGACAGCAACTTATCTGCCTGTAACAACATAAGTAATAAAGCATAAGTTAAAATAATAAGAAAAAAAATATTTCAGTCTCCTGGGGGATGGAAAAACCAGTTACCAGGGTTCCTAGCAGAGTCATCCAAGAGCTTTCACACAACTATATTTTCTCTCACTCAGAAGCCTGTATACTACTGGATGTACATAAATCAATTTTATATACAATTATGTGGTAAGCACAGCTCACATTTATTATAAAAGGAAACCAAACGAAATGCATTTCTTAGCTTCAGAGTAGATTGTTACTCTAATCTTCAGCATCAGCAGAGAAGACAGGAAAGGCAACTCTTCCTAGGCTGTTTTATTAAGAGTCACATGCAGAAAAATCCTCCTCTCAAAAATATCGGGAAATGGATAAGCTATAACCTTATAGTATCTCTAAGCAAAGTTTGATTTGTGGCTGTGCATAGAAAGGAGACTCACTGAAACATGTAATTGCTTTAACTTGGTGTTAAAATCCCAGAACATTTAACATGAGCAACTTGCCTCATCCAATACTATCATCTGGACATGCTCAACTTTTGCTACTCCTTTCTTGATGAGATCGAGGATTCTCCCAGGGGTAGCTATCACCACATGCACTGTAAGGTCAGAAGAGCAAAAAAATAGTTAAGCCAACTAAAACAGTGTTTCTGGCATTCATGGTCATGTTTCATATGAACAGTTTGAAAGAATGACAACTGTATACCAACAGCAAACAAGACATATTGAAGTCTGTTCTGTAAAAGGCAAACAGTAATAAGCAGAAATTTCACCACCACACTGTAAAAGCCACAAATAAACAGCAACTGTAGTGGAGCAGAAGTGCTCTGACCTGTATCATCAAGTCTCATTATGTCATCTCGCAAATTGGTTCCTCCTGTTGTTGCCATCACTTTGGCACCTCCCATGTGTTTGCTGACTTGGATACAGATTTGACTGACCTGCAGGGCTAGCTCACGGGTGGGAACAATCACCATTGCTGAAAGTTAAAAACATCAGTGTGAGTTACTAGTAACACTCTGTATCCTAAATACTCATCCTCAGAGGAGACAGACTTCATGAAAGCAGTACTTCTATGGTTTTGGAGTTCCCCTTTGGGTATCCTGAGCAGCCCAGGAACTGCTTATGACAAGGCAAATTCCATGCAAGGGTTCTCCCTTCCTTGATGCTCCCCTTGCTGAGTCCCCCAGCCAGCACACTTGCTTGTTACTTCACATCCACTTTCCAGGGGCAAGACAGTCCTAAGTCCAGAGGATGTCTTCCGTTAAAGCTTTTGAAAGCAACTGTGGGACTTTTCAAATTCCACCTCCCCTCCACCACTCCCCATTAACTTTCTCTGAAAGTATAAGTAGATAACCCATGCTGCCCAGTTTCATTAACTAGTTTTAGATTCAAGTCTTATGTAGTGACTGACACCATTACCTGGTTGCAGCTACAAGAGATCCACCTCAACTGACCTTGTATATTGTCCTTCTTTAGGTCTAGCCGTTCAAGTAAAGGAATGAGGTAGGCTCCACTCTTGCCTGTTCCATTTTTCGCTCTAGCCAAGATATCCCTACCAGATAAAGCAATGGGGATGCTCTCCTCCTGAAATGCAAGGACAGTGTGTGAGTCATCAATTACAAGGCATCTTCACTGAAGAGGATGACAAAATTAAACTCCCCTCACTAACAGTATCACATGAAATCTGATTTTTTCATGATCATGATTATTGTTATTACTACTATCCTGCAACCACAAGCATGGCAGACTCACAACAGAAAAAAGTTAAACACCTCAATAAAGAGTTACCCAACATATACCACTTAGAAGTCCTTATACTGCCTGATCATAAGATTGGGTACCACAGGTGATGGTAAAGCCACACTGACACACTAGGAAAAAAGTGAAAAACTGGGGGAGGGGGGAAGTGAAGAGACAATGATAGTCACTAGCAAACTCCTCCTACGGAAAAAGATTCCCACCTATACCTTAACATCAGAACCAACGCAGCCCATGTGATTCAAACCTGTATATTCTTGTGATATACTTCTCATAAAATCAGCACGCTCTCCTTTTGAAACTTCAAACTTCAGTCATCCAAACACAAGCCCCATGTATTTTTAACTTTATTGTCTTTTAGAGCAACATTTAAAGAAATCTCAGCCTTTTGGAAAGGTGCATCGTGAGAACCTGTTTTAAAGCAGATCAATCACCTAAACACCATAGCTTTCTCATGCCTTAAGGAGGTAAGGCAGCAGAGCTGAGCCAATGATAAACCTTCAAAGACCAATTCAAAGAGAGTTCGACTTCCCTCCTCCCTGTCTTGCAAAGTTTACACATCAACAATTCTTAATAGAACAAGCCTTAGGAGTAAAGGAAGATGGAGGGACAGAGAAGTGAACTTGCTAAGATATTAATCTCTCTCCCACAATCTCCATTATGCTTCTTCCAGATGCTTACAATAAAAAGAGCCAAGACTGCGATAAAGCCATAATTGTCTCTGTAAACTCTTAAGGTACGCAGCCTATGGTAACTCAGTTTTCTGGAAAATTTAGAGAACAGCTCTGTTCTCACTGGGACTACTTATGTGAAGGATGTTACTGAACAGAGAATTAACAAATTAACACCTTCAGCATGAAAACAAAAATCCAAGTTAACTTCTCCAAAGTGTAAGTCAGTCCCATCACTAAGCCGCCCATTGGTCTGGGGTGAGAAATTCTTGCCTTCCCCAAAGGAAAAACTTCCCACCACGTTTCACTGTTCACAGCCCCAGTTTTCCCAAACCATGACGTAAGTATTGGACATACAGGCAAAGTTAAACATGGCTTCTAAGCAGTTTGTTTGCAAACAACCTGAATAGGAGATGGTTTTTCCCAGCCCATTTCAAAAATTCCCATCAGCAACTCCCGTTTCAAACAGTAATCTTCAAACTCGTTTCCTTTTGTGGAGGTCACGTCCTGAATAATCAAAAAAAGCACATCCATAAGATTAGGTCATATAACCTGCAGCTGTTTTTGATTGGTCTGAGACTGCCTGTGCAGGAAGACCACAAATTACTATACAGAAGTTTCCACTACTCCATGTAACACCCTACAGCAGCAGAGGAAACATTTGCTTTCTCAGAGCCAAACACAGCTCTGCGAGTACAGTGACACCTTCCTATCTGCCTGACACAACACAAAAATCATCAGTCCCTGTTGTAACACTAATAAAGAAAAGAATCCACTGTAAACCCCATTTTGAAGCTTTCCAAGACAGGATCACTCCCAAGCAGTTGGAGAACAAATTAATTCTTCACTTAAAACAGCAGGAGCTGAACTACTTTTTAACCTTTGCTCAGAACAAATATTTTGCCACTGAAACTTCTTCCATATCTTTTATTTAATATTTATTCCTACAATTCAACCATCCTTACCGAAGTTTTGATTCTCAAATCTTTTGGAGGGAGTTTTAAAGTCTTCTTCCAGTCATCACCAGGTCTATAGCAGGAAAAAAACAACAATAAATTATAAAATAAGTCTGGATTAATATTTTGATTTTGCATTTTATTTTCTTAGATATAGTGATGAACGTGTACTATTTTGGCCTCCTCAAAGCTAAAAGCACCTACATATACGAGCTCAAGTCTTCTCTAAGTTAAGCAGGATATAACAAGCAGAAAACTGTAAACAGAGAAAATAAGAAGTCCACCAAACACATTTGTGAAATATTTATCCAGTCATGATTCAAGTCCCACTTTTCAACTGATTCCCACTGAATCAATCCACTAGAATAGATTTTAAACTGAGCACTGACTTAGTCATACAGCAGAAACTGGTTACATTAAATCCACCTGAGAGTATTTCACCACTTAAAAAGAAACATTCTCTTGCCCAGGGAACGTCCATTCTTAATCCCCAAGTAACGTGAGAAGATAAAAAACACTCCACTGGTTGATCAAAAGTCTTTTTCTCTCAGTGAGATTTAGACACCCATCCTCTCTTGAAAGGCACTGTACAGATGAGAGCAAGTCCTTCTCTTCTACACTCCCACGACGTTATGAGTTTAATTCACCAGTTTCATCAGAGTAACCCATGTAATACATAAAAAAAGTGGGGGGAGGGGTCAAGTTAGGCAGAGTTTAAAAGCCTGAGTGTTCCATCACACTCTCTGAGGAAGCTGGCACTTCCTTTGCAAATAATTAACAAAATAAAAGTCAATGCTGTTCACAGGAAGCAGGAACTATGGGGGAAAGAGAAAAGCAACACATTACCGTACTGTCCAAGTCTTTTTCATCTTTCAGAAATTCCAACCAGCACACGTTTTATTAGCACACTTCCAAAAACAGCTGGATGGGAGCAAGGTATCACAGTGGGACTGTATCCTCTCAGCTAAGACTTTGATGAATTAAAGCCAGGGCATTACACTGAGGAGAGCAGGCACTACTATTTCAGATCAATGACAAAAGATAGCTGACTTTAAAGTATTTCTCACTTTGAGAAAGAACTGTAACAAACTGAAAAGTATACACAACTGGACTGAGACCAGGTGGCATTTCCTCCTCTGTCTTTAATTTCAGTTCTGTTCCTTCCCGCTCCCCAACTTCCTTCTTGCACCACTCGCAACAAGCAAAGGGCACAGGCACTCTGCTCAGTGGGCTGCTTGTGACAGCAGTTCACACTTGGAAAAGCACAGCATCAAATTCCATTTTCACAAGGAACACACCACAATAATTACTGCTGGACAGGAGCTCACACATGGAAATACAGATTTTTTTTTCTATAATGTACATCACAGGACACTTCTACCTCCCTACATCATAAAATAACAGCAGACAACATTCTCAAATGGGAACCAAAACTTCCCAATATGTGATTCCTAAACATTCCTTTTGTAGCAGCCGATACAATCACTTACTTAATAGCGGTGGTCATACTCTGTGCTTGCTGTTGAGTGCCATTATTGATTGTGTTGGCATTTTTCAGCTGGTTCATCTGCTGCTGAGTTTGTGTGCCTCCACCTCCTGGGCCACCGCTGGGTTTTACGGGGCCTCTCAACTGCCCATTCTGACTGGATAGACCCATTATAACAGGGTTCTCTGTTCTGGCCGTGCTCATGGTTTTATCTTTAAAGATGTCTTTTTAGACTCAAAACTTTGAAAGTCAGTACAGAAACTGTAATAACAGTTTATTAGACTCTCCAAAATGAAGAGATAAATAAGTCTTGCTCAATATATGAGTCCTTTATTGCAATGCAGGCAAGCACCTGTAAGTCACTCAAAAGTAAAGCAGTAACTTGCTCTGATGCACTGTGGATCAACTTTTTTTTAAAAAAAGCCCTCTAACGACGTTATGTCAGAATTCACTTGCTTCAATCTGAAAGAGAAGCAGACAATAACAGTTAGTATGTGGGTTTTTTGGCCACACAAAATCACATCAGTCTACTCTTGTATTTTTAAGAGCCACTTCTTTCCAGGCAGCACGCAACAAGAACACTTGCTTGTCTATTTCCTCAGTGATAACTATCACGACATGCATCAAACTTTTTTTCCTTTCTATAAAGCTGAGCCTACCCTCTTCAGTCACCACAGAAAACCTCCTGAAGAGCTGTGCTTTCAGCAGCATTCCAAGCACTACCTGCCCCCTCCCAGAAAGTAACCATGAATTTTATCAACTGCTTTGACAGCTTTTCAAGTTCCCCCACTTCTGGGATGCAGCAAAGCAGCCCTAAAATGCTGAGCAATAACATAACGCACAAGTTTGTGACAGGAAGCAAAATGACAATATCAAGTGGACATTCCAGTAAGAACTGACAAAACTCTTAAGTTAGTCTGACTGCCTTTTCAATTTGAAAGGGAAATAGAAATTACGTAAACCCAAACCAACAGCTTACCCTCCTCCAACCCAAAACATTAGCTCAACCCAGCTTACTCACAGTTTTGAGTTGGGCATTGATTTAGGGCCTTTCAATGTAGCAACATGAATATCATCACACTGAACTAAGCTGGTGCCTCTGAGAGTCCAAGGTACTGAGCCTGAACTGAGGCAGTAACACACAGGTATACTGGGTATCCAGCTTCCCGCTTATGCGTTCCATGTGACCTTACCTTCCAGCAGTCACCAACAACTTCTGCTGTGCTCAAAAGATAACATTTGGTACAAGACTTAATATTGACTGCGTATGTAACAGAAAGGTTGGCAAAACCATGGACAGACAACACAAAGTCTGCCCCTTACAGAAAGCAAGCACAGACCAGAGCCGAAAGACTCCTTACTGTGGTATCACAGAGAAAAAACATTCCCAATACAAAATCTTTTGGAACAGAAAGTAGGTTTGCCTATGCTTTCTTATCACAAGGCATCTTTTATCTTGAGAAAATGCAAAGGAAAAACCAGCAGATTACTGCTTCCTAACCTCAGCGTTCACAACAAAATGTGCTTCCCCAGTGAATAAAAGCACTTCAAGAAGACGAGAAAGGAATTCAGACTCTTCCCAGACTTCCCTGTTGTTTCCAAATGAGTCCACAGCACAACTTTAAAGTTCGCAGAACCAGGATTTTTCCGCTAGTTATCTTTCATCTTTGACGAGAGATTTCTCCCGGCCATTAACTTCGTAAAAACCAGATGAGATGAGTCATGAAGGCAACCGGAGCGGCCAGCGTCCCGGGTACCAACGCCGAGGATATATTTTCTCCAATATTGCAGGAAATGAAACCTCCCAGCCCCTCACCCTCCCCATCACTCCCTCCCCCGCCCGTAACTACCCTTTAGGAAGACAGAGATTAAAAAGAACACTCAGCCTCACTGAACCCAACAAATCCCCAACAAGAGGCGCCACCATCTCGCAGACCTGCGGTACGAAGGGAAAAGGGCCCCCGAAGCCCATCTGTGCTCCCCGGACGCGGGCAGGCGGCCAGGGAAGCCGCTAGGGACCTTCCTCTTCCCTCGGCCCGTCACAAAGGGAGCCCCCGCGGCGCCCGATGTGCGCGGTGAGGCCGGGCCGCACTGCGGAGCCGCGGGGCCGAGCACCGGGGCCGGCGCCGCCCGCGGATCGGAGCTGCGCCACACCGGGAGCTCCCGCCCGCCCAGAACAATAGAACGCCCGGCGCCCGGCCCGTCCTCGCCCCGCGCGGGACCCCGGCCCCGCCGCTCCCGCTGCGCCCCGGCTCGGCTCGGCCCGGCCGCCCCCGTCTTGTCCGCGGCCCCGCCAGGCCCCGCTCAGGCCCAGCGCTCCCGTCGCAGGCCGCGAGGCCCGGCCCGCCGGCGCCGGCCTCTGCCGCCCCGCTCCCGAAGAGCCGCGCCCGTCCCGGCGCCCCGTCCCGTCCTCACCGCCACCAGCCGCTCTCCCCCTCGCCCAGGTATAAAATCCTCTCGCTGCCCCGGTGCCTTGTTATGGCGACTCGACGCTCCAAGATGGCGGCTTCCTCCTTCCTCCCGTGCGCCCTCCCCCTCCCGCCAGGCGGGGCCGCCCCACCCTGCACGCACCACGCGCGTCACGTGACTGCGGCGGCCCCGCCCATCTGTTATGCTGGTACCTCATCCAGCGTGGGCCCTCGGCCCTGTGTATGAAGAAAACGCCTGCAAACTTAGCGTGGCTTCGCTCTGTAGTCATTAAAACACAGCGAAAACAAATGTAGGAACAAAAGGCTGACCCTCAGCGGGCAGGAGCTGTAACCTCTGACCGGGGCAGGCCTGGGAATTGCCATTCCCTTTCAGACGGCTGTTCCTTAGACACAGATTTTGACAAACTGGGCCATAATGGTAATGTGATCTTAAAAACACTAGCCTAAAAATGCTGGTAATTCCAAAACTGCTTTGCCGACAAATTTTTGTTCAAATGTTTTCCGAAGTAGGCATAAAAAGACAGGGAGGGAAGTTCATTTATTTTGATATGGCTGTTTTTATCTCTTTTGTCACTTCTACATCCACCCCCAGCAGCCAAAGGCGCACCCGGGGCTGGTGGGGCCGTGTATGCCCTCAGCCTCACTGGAAGTCTGCAGGTCACATCAAGAGGACGAAGCCACGCTGTTCCTTCCTCTGACAGCCACAGCACAGTCATCTCCATCAGGCCTGCTGCCACTTCTTCTGTAATAACTTCTGTAATATTATTAATATCTACCCAGTTCATGGCAGATCAGATCAGCACAGCCTCGTCCTTGATTTCGTTTGTTTGCTTCCATGCAGACTCTGCTCTGCTCTGAGGCTGCTGTCCTGGACCGAGCCTGCCCTTCCCCAGGGCACAGAGGTCATCCCTGGTGTGAGGGGCTCCCTTGCCAACCTCTCTCCTACCTGATGCATCCCTCTTTCTTTTCGAAGCTTCTGTTCCAAGTATGGCAAGCAAAAAAGGAACCTGAAAAGACAGGCATTCACGTGCCAGGGGAGCAGAAAACTGCACCTCACCTGTTTCTTGCTGTGCTACTCATTGGCCAAAGGGCGAAGCAGCCACAGCTGGGAAGCCCTTGACTACCCCATTCCCACACATGGAGGCAGATGCTGGGCATGACCTTCATTCTCCTGCTGCTGCTTTGGCCCTGCTGTGTGGTGGCTGGCATCTCACCTCAGCTCCTTGCAGGGCTAAGCAATCACACTTCCCAATGAGTTGTGCAGGAAGTGGCATGTTCTAATCTTGAAAGAATAAGTAACAGAAATTATCAGATTAGGAAACATGCCTGACATCTGCAGGCAGCACAGAGTTTTAGTTATGGTAACAGCAAATAAGACTAACAGAGAACATTAGAGTTGAGAAGACTCAGGAGCCAGAAACGATTTGGCTTTTCTCCAGCAGAGCTCAGGAAGTCAGGGTCAGTGGCCAACTGGCCAGTAGAAGTGCTTGTAAGTCACACAGTTACAAAGAACAGAGCAACTTCATACACAAGTACTGCATTTTGTCATCCTCGTGTAGAGCTGAATAATTTCCTATTATCAAAATACTGCATACAAGTTAAGGAAATTTTACATTCCTTACAAAACAAGAACAATTTTCCAGTGAGAGTTTGTATCTGTGGCAAAAAAACAGAGTTCAGACAGCTCAGACATACATGATGCCCATGTATGGACATCAAAACAATCCTCAAATTAAGGAATTTGGTAACAGTCTTCTTCCATAGTCAGTTCCTTACCTGCCTGTGTAGGGACATTGTATTTCATTTCAATTTCTTCCCATTTATTTTTCCCCTATAATATTCTCTCTCACTATCATATTTCTTGCATTTCACATTACAGCAACACAAAGATCCCTTAGGTATGCCTGTAGGGCAGCAATCTCCTTGGTGTACTGTGTGTTTGCAAGGGAAATCCTTTATGTCTGTTGCTTTGGAGCAGGCTCCCTGAACCCCTGTCATTCCCACACCACATCTGAGGGCCAAGCTTACAGCGTGGGAAGCATTTCCAGACTGCAGTTCCCCACAGCTGCCTTCTGTGGCCTGCCCCTCTGAGCTGAGAGGTTCGCAGCATCACTTCCTCACTCGCAGACTCACAGTACCTTACATGCCCTGTCTCGGGGAGCAGCACCCTTGCTGCTGGCCCTTCCCAAGCTCTCAGTCTCCCAGATTCAGTGGTGCCCCACTCCTCACGCTGCCCCTCAGCCCCAGCAGGGCAGGGCTCAGTCTGTGTTCCCCCTTGGGAGGCACAGAACGAGCTCTCTGTGGCCTCCCTCCAGTTTTGCTGCTCTCCATCCTCTTCCTTTTGGGAGAAAGAGTGCCCAGAGGCCGATGTGCACATGCAGGTGCACTCGAAGGTCCTCGGGGCAGGGAAGGACAGTCAACATCCTTGGGGCAGCAGTGGCCCATCAAGTCAGGATCACCTGGCTCCTGCTAAGAAGCAGGAGTGAATGAAATCAAATAGTGTTCACCTGAATAACACCACTTCCTCCTTCAGCAGTCCAAGTCCCACCCTTGCTGGTACAGAGGCTTTGGTGCAGCTGTGCCCAGAGAAGAGGAGGACAAACACTGTGCTTGTGGAACCATATCAGCTCTTCACAGAGGAAAAGCTTCCTGCCAAAATGCCAGCTGCAATGCCATCGTGCTCTGCTGACCCAGACTGGGGTTTTCTCATCGTGAGTCTGCTGCTGTAACATGACTGAACAAAATGCACATTTCCCTGAGCAGAGAGAATCTTGATTTCCCATCCTTATTATCCTTTACTATCTTGTGAAATCAAGGGGCCTTGCTGTGTCATGCAGCTGCCCAGCCCCTCCTGTGCTTTCCTGTGCAAGCCACCTCACACTCTCCCCAAGCCCAGATGAGGGGCGAAGCAGTAGAACAAGTAGAAGACAACCACAAGCCACTGGGGTTAAAGCAGCCAGAAGGACCTTGAGGCGGAGGGTGATGGTCATACAGACTATACCTATGCATTTCACGTCCAGGTGTCTTTCTTTGAAGTCCTGCATGGCTCCAGAGATCCAGGAGTATCCAGAGATGCTGCCTGGATCCAGGAGGTTTCTGCTGTGTTCCTTGTCACAGAACTCTCCAAAGCCATTCGGATCACTTGGGACAAGGACAGCCATGGGCAAGAGCCCTGAAGGTTTCCAGGGAAGCTGTAAGGATGTTCTGAATCTTCTCTGGTACAGAACAAAGGAATGTGGATTCTTCAAACTGTACTTTAAAAATCAACTTACCGTGCTAGTAAAAAGATGATAAAGCTAGACGCTAATCCTTACATCAATCAGGTCACTATGCCTGGAGCTCATTTGCCTTGCAAATAGCCTATTTTTACATGCTGTGTCCCTCCCTACTCAAATTACTAACTCCACCCCAAAAAAGAACTTCTGTTGAAACTTGTGTAGAAGAGACAGATCCTGCTCCTGAAACCATGGGGCCTGTCAGCTACTCATCAGAGACCTATGACTTGGTGAGTTGGGACTGGCTTTGCTTGATAACAGGGAGAGCAGGTAGAGCTGGGGTGGGCTGAAAGACCTGTTTTCTGTCTGTCTGTCTTCTTACCCTCCTATTGGCAGAGGAAGAGCTTGAGCCATTTCTTAAGACAGCACAATCAGCCCTTGCATCCCTTAAGTCCCAACTTGGCTGTAAACACAAGGCTGTTGCTTGCAGAGAGCAAGCCCCATCATCACATTAGGGGAAGACAGTTGTGTGTGCTTGAGGTTTTGGGTAGGGGGGATTCCTGGCCCCCAAGGGGACTGGCTCTCACCCATTCAGGAGGAAGCACCATGGCATCAGAGCACAGCCACAGCACTCCTGGATGCAGAGCTGGTGGAGAACGGGATGGTGGCAAGACCAAGAGTAACTTTGGTCAGAGCAAAGTCTGGCTCAGCACTCTTCCTGGCAGTAGCCAAAGGCAGAGGCCTGGGGAAGAGGGCAAGAGCTGGGCAAGGCTATTCTGCACTTTGCCCTTCTACCATCCACTGCTGGGGGACCACCTGAGCCAGCTGTCTGCTCTACGTGTTTAGTAATGCTCTGTACGCTTCTGCCCCATCTGTGTGCCTGACCCCTCCTAGAGCCATGCAGATGGTTTCAGCAGCAGAGCAGAGCAGTTCAGATGAGCCCTGCCACTGCCTCTTTACCCCAGTCGCATCCTGAAGCACCCAGTGCATTGCCCAGGGAAGGCTGCCTGAGAGAGAAGAAACATAAATCACCCTTCCCTAGGCAGGAACAATGCAGGACTCCAGGCTGGTCACACTCATTTGGCTTAATAGCACTTTGGGTGAGCAAAAAACCCCCCAACTCAATTCTAAAACTGTGTAAAGCAGGGCTGGTATTTTTAGATGGGAACTTTGGCAGAGGAGGGAAGGAGCAGCAGGTGCAAACGGCTGCAGCTGGCAGTGAAAGGTATGAAAGCAGCAAGCAGAGACTTCCGCTGTGGTCGACACTGAAGTCTCAGCACAAGTCTCTGGAGAGGGTGTGGGTGGGGGACCTCAGGGTGACTGCTGCTGAGCTTTTCTCACTTGTCACTAATTTTCCAGCTTGCCACAAGCCTCCTGCACTGCTCTCTTTTTGTGCTTATCCCAGCCCTTTGCTTTTGTGAGCACCCAACTTCTGCAAGGTGCCCAAGGCCAGCTGGAGTGTGCCCACTGTCCAGGAAGCTCATTCTGAGTGCAACTCCAGCTTCCCAGCACTTGATACTTGCCCGCAGCCTCAGCCCAAATACAGGCTGCTCACCTGGCAAGAAGATATAGCAGTCCAAGAGCAAATCACATCTGTGGCAGCTTTATTGCAATTTCCTTATCGTGTATCAGCCTGGGGTCCAAGTGGTGTTTTCAATAGTGTTTCCTGCCCTGACTGCAATTATTTCAGAACTGCAAGGTTTACCAACAGAACAGATTCTCTCTCCAGCATCCATTCCTCCAGCTATGGCACCACAGTGCCTCAGAGGCTTTCCTCCAGCCATGTTGAACACCTGCCCCCCACCTTTCTCTGAGTGTGTGGAAAGCAATCTCAAGGATAGCTGCTGCTGTCTCCACCTTACCTTGCTCTGCCCCGGGCAGCTCCCAGGCCTCTGAGGTGAAGATGGTTAGTGCAATCCCACCACCTGACAGCAGGCAGGAGAGGGGCGGTTCGAATCAGAAATGGGTAGAAAACATCAGGAAAGCTGGTAGAGGAGCATTCCACGCTATGTGAGGAAGCAAGAGCCACCAGCAGGTAAACTGGCAAGAACCAGAAGATGAAAGTGTTCATTTGACTGGACACCAGAACATCACCACATATGCTAGTTAGAGATTAGATCCTGAGCAGCTCTTGCTGTCAGATGGAGACAACCCTCTCCACAGGCTGCTGCACCTCCTGGCACTGGGGGGGCCTCCAAGGTCATCACACTCCAGACAGGCAGCACCTCCTCCTCATGCAGGTGGGCTTCAGGATGTGGGGATGCTCCACTCTAGGTCTGCCAGGTGCAGCTGAGGGACTGGGTTCTTGTGTCCAGAAACTCCCCTCTGTTAACAAGACTCTCTTGTTCCCCAGAGCCAGGTGGAGCTGAGTGGGTACTACGAAGCTGAGAACACCACCCCTTCTTTGGAGGGCTACTTTTGCTTCAACCCAGCCTCATCAGTGGTCGGCAACCAGAGGGACCCCTTCAGAAAGGTCTTCATGCCCCTCATCTACCTGCTGATGTTCATGTTGGGGACTGTAGGCAATGCTCTGGTCCTGGTCATTTTAGAGAGGTTCAAGCGGTCTCGCACCACCACGGAAAACTTCCTTTTCCATCTCACCCTGGCCAACCTGGCACTGTTGCTCACCTTCCCATTCAGCGTAGTAGAGAGCTTGGCTGGATGGGTATTTGGGAAGTTCCTCTGCAAGATACTCAGTGCTGTCCACAAGATCAATTTCTACTGCAGTAGCATGCTGCTAGGGTGCATTGCGGTGGACCGTTACCTGGCCATCGTCTACGCAATCCACACCTACCGCAAACGCAGAGCTCGCTCCATCCATCTTACCTGCATGGCTGTCTGGCTCTGCTCACTGCTTCTGACTTTACCCGATCTCATCTTCATGGAAGTCTGGACAGATGACAGCAACCGCAGCATTTGCTATTTTCCAGAGGTTGGGATCGATGGGAACAACGCCTGGCTGGCAACTCGCTTCCTCTACCACACCGTGGGCTTCTTTGTGCCTCTGCTGGTCATGTGTTACTGCTACATGGCCATTATCCGGGTGCTCTGTCAGTCCCAGCGCCTGCAGAGGCAGAAAGCTGTCCGTGTGGCCATCCTGGTGACAGGCATCTTCCTGCTCTGCTGGAGCCCGTACCACATCGTCATCTTCCTGAACACACTTACCAAGCTAGAAGCCTTCACCAAGAACTGCCTCCTGGAAGACCAGCTGGACACAGCCATCATGGTGACAGAGGCCATCGGCTTCACACACTGCTGCCTCAACCCCATCCTCTATGCCTTCATTGGAGTCAAGTTCCGTAATGACTTCTTCCGGATCCTGCAGGAGCTTGGCTGCATAAGCCAGGAGACCCTGCAGGAGATCCTGGACGTGACAAGGAAGGGTAGCGGAATTGATTCTGACAACACCACCTCCATCTCCACCTTCTAGCTGGGAAAGGCTGCCTGCAGGACAGAACTAGCCTAGGGCTTTCCTTCCCAGTGGCATGCTTGCTGTGGTCTCAGTTACAAGTTTTACAAGCATCCCCACCACTTTTCTTTGCTCCTCAGGAAACAGGTCCAATAGCCACCGAACACCCGAATCCCATCAGATACCTTGCCTGGCTGCTCCTGGTTCTCGTACTTGTAGAGATCTGCCTGGCAGCTGTTGGTGAATGCTGGCTGTTCAGTGGTCACTCTTGTGGGGCTGGATGAACCCAAGTGGGTTGAACTGACATTCCCACCTCTCCCTCAAAATGTTGACTGCAGGCATCTTGTGCTTGAAGCCAGGCACAAGACTGGGGTGGTCAGGGGCAAGGAAAAAAGTGCAGCCAACTAAGCTAAGCAGGTCTCCATTTTACTTGCTCAGGTTGGTACAGACATGCTCAAAGGAAGCAGCAGGACTCATTGGCCACAGCAACTGGAAAGAGAGATGTAGGTAGGACTGATGGGGGCTGTAGAGCTCAATCACATAGCATGGGCATACAGTGCTGAACACTCTCTGACTGAAACACTGTCCTCCTGCTGCGACATCCGCCCCAGCCAGCCACAACACGTTCACCTGCCCGACATAGTTCATGCCAGCAGGTCTTCCCACAGACTAAAAGATTTGACTGTCAGAGACTCCTTTCCTGACACCAGTTGCATCTTTCCCCACTCATTTGATCTGTTTTACTGCTGTTAAGATCTTCTGTGAGTGGCTGCTGAGCTGAATGACTGACTATGCAAAAGTTTTCCTTTAAGGAAAAACAGAATCTGAAGAGATGGCTTCTGTCTTGTGACTGTGCACAGGGGACAGAAATTACACAGCTTTGTAAGTCTGAAGGTGTAACTTTTTTTTTCAGCTCACTGTATGGCAATTTGTGGGTTCTGAGAGCGAGGAGACCCACTGCCCCAAAGTAAGGAAAAGAGCTCATTTGCAAAATTTCTCTTTCTTTTTAGTGAGGTGAGAGGAAATGCAGCATTTTGCTTTGCACTATGCTTTCTGATATTTCTCCTCTACCTGCATCAACAGGGCTTTCAGAGATTAAGTGCTTCCAGAGAGAACAAAACTGGGTGGTGATCTTGCCCTGAACTGCAAGTATCCAGCAACTCTTCAGATCAGGGCAGCTTGATGATACTTTGATTCAAAATAAGAGCAGCAGCTTTTCCTGTCATTAATTCTTGCACCACAAGCTGGTATGTGGGAAGCATTTAGCAGACTCAGACAGCCTGCTGCTGCCTAGGAGGTCTTGTCACAGCATAACACTGCAGTGAGTCCACAATGTTGCTCTGTGACATTTCTGTTGCAAAAGAGTGCTCTAGCCTGAACTGAACGAGAGCCACATGTACCAACCATCACATGAGCATGACTGTCACCACAAGCACACCTTAAAAACTGCTCTACCCTTCCCCTCACATTTTAAGCCATGTCAGAACAATGTCAGTTCTCCTGCCACAGCAGGAATTTTGTGCTAAACTGACTTCTGAAGTTCAGCTCACTAACAAAGGCCTCGGTCCCAGCTGAACTTCACTGTACCCAAGGACCCTTTTAAAAAGACCAGGCATTATGGAAGGGGTTACATTACCTCAGTCTGGCTCAGGTAGACATCTCAATAGCTCGTTCTCACATTGTGACTTCAGGAGAAAACTCACCAAGTATAAGGCAGTCCACCATTTCCTGCAGTGCTGCATCTTCAAAGATGAAACCTGCAAGTAATGGTGATCATAATTGTTCAAGCATGTACATGCAGCAGAGGAAGAGCAGCTCTCTTTAGCCTGTCCTTGTGTTCTCCAGGGTTGTACCAGTAAGCAGACCCATTGCAGATGCATTGTAAACACCTCCCCAGCAAGTTCTGATGAGAACTGTGTTTCTACATAAAACTGTTACTGAAGAAATGAACAGTGAGAGTGTAAAATTGTGGTCACAAAGTAAAAAGAAAATCTGCACACAAAGTACGAGTGAACAGATTGATTACACATCTATTGTTACTATAGTTTTTAGTACTGGTACATGTACATACCACTACTGGTATGTACAAACCTTTAGAAATTTTTGATGTAAGCTGTAATAAACAGTTGAATAAAACACCTTCTCATGGACCGTGCTTGTAAGCAGTTGTCTGCAGTCGTGTCACGAGGGAAACCCATCAGAGAGCTCTGAGTGGGCAGACAGCACCTTTCTGACAAGTGCTGCTCTTCCCATATGGGGACCACAGGGCTCAGAGAAGCAGCTTGTTCAGATTCCCCTTCACCAGAATGCCCTGCTGTGTTCAGTCAGCCCAGATCTACATTAGCGCTCTGCTTTCCAGAGCCTCTTCCACCAACTGGAGCATCTGCTGCCCCAGTTTTACAGCAGCTGCTAACCCGAGTGGAAAGCTGCCCTTGCACCTGCATTTGGCTCAGCCAGCCTGGGAATGGCTTAGCTCAGACCTGGCAGATCCTTCCCCAAAGAGCAGCCGTTGCTCCTCCCACAGCTGCCTGCAGCCAACCTGCTGAATGGTGAAAAGAAAGCAAGAGGAACTTTCCGTCACCGCAGAGGAAGCTGGGCTTTCCACTCAATGAAACCCTCACTGTCTCCTCAAGGTTTGCATGGCTGTCACATGGCCCAGAGTGGGCTTCCAGGCTAAGCACTCATGCCGCCAGAGCCACCCCCAGACACTACAGCCCTCAGGCACACAGACCTTCAGGCTCCCCTGTGGAGCTCGGCTCAGCCCCTATTCCACTGCTACCAAGTGAGGTGGATGGACTGCCCACCCAGGCCGCCAGGAAGAGGCACTGAGCCCAAGGGAGCTCCCAGGTGGCTCCTGCACAGAGTGGGAAAGTGGCGTATGGGAAGGTAATCTCACCACCATCCGCAACACACACTCTTGCACTCCCAGCCCTGGACCGTGCTCTGCAAACAAGGCTTCAGCAGACAACCTGGAGAAAGCCTTGGTCTCTGCTGAAGGCAACCCCAAAGACAAGGACACAAAGACTCACAACAGCACCCTGGCTCTGCATTTCCTACAGGGTAACCAAATCTCCCAGGAGGCAGAGCTGGGGTGTTTCAGCAGAGCATCCTGCTACATGCGCGCGATGATCACAGGGCCGTGGCAGGCAGTGGAGCGTGCGCGCATGAGCGCGAGCCAGGAACGCATGAATGAACGTGTGCCTGGGAGCGTTGCAGAGAAGGGGCTCCCCCGATGCCCATGCAACCTCCCAGCAGCTCTTGCACTGTCTGTCCCCACTGCAGTCCCATGGAAAATCACGTGGAAAAAGACAGGCACAAGGTCAAGTTTTGAAATTTGTCTTTTTAATAAAAAGGCACCTATAAAACAGGTCAATACATTACAGGCAGCACAGATACCCAAAAACAAGCCTAAAAATTGTTTCAAATAAAAACCAATAAGATGTCTTCACATATTGTATTTATATATTTATATTTATATATATATATTTATATAATGGTACAAAATGACTGGGGAAGTTTCTCCACGGGATGACAGAGAACAGATCAGTCACCTTTACCTCAACGTGAAAGCTAACTCCGGGTGCATGATTATCTGATGTACTGAAAGATGTGGTTTCCCAGCATATGCTTTTTTGGAGCTGGAAAAACATGGCAAAGTCATGGCTAAAAGATGGGCAAACCTACTGTGATTAGGTGGAGTCCGTACACAGAACTCAAGCTGAGAAGCCGAGCAATCAACTACAAGACACAAGACTAGACACAGGTCACGGCAGCAGGCAACCAGCTGATGGCAAACCTTGCCCAGGTCTAACAAGGACTGGCTGTCACTGAGCCTCCAGAGGAACTCCTGCCATACTGCTGGTCACAGACATGGTTCTGAGTGGTGCACAGGGCAGAGGGGTGTTAGGCAGCACTTCTGCTCCCCATTGTTCAGCCCCCTCAGTGGTAGGAGTAGGGCTGGCTCCAGGGCAGTGCAATTTTGCAGAAGAGCACTGACTGCTGCTCTAGAATCCTCAGCTCTGACCTAGTATTGGAATTTCCCTTTTGTATCCAGGGCTGCTGAGTAAAAAGGCTTTGCTTCTTATTTGTCACTGAAGGACAGGTATTCCTTCTGTTGCCAGGCAGAAACAGCACTGCCCTGCCCTGCCCCTGCGAGCAGCCAGCACTGGCCTCCTGAGTTCTGCACAGCCGTGCAGCCTGGGGGCTCCAGCTGAGCAGGGACAACACGCTGCCCATAAAGACAGGACTGCAAGCCCCAAGCAACTTCTATGTCAGGCTGGGCAAAAGGGACAACGGGGAAGGTACGAACACGTGGAGATCTCAACTGGGCTAAAACAACAGCTGTCTACAGACAAACAAAAAACTTCCATATAGAAAATGTTATGGCTTCAAATTAGCCAAGATTAGCTGGTGGGTAATAAGCAAGGTTTGAGGCTGTAATTGGTATTTGGATGTTTATGAGAAACTACCAGCAGCCAACACCCCAAGGTGCAGCCAAGAGAAGCCACGGCCTTTCAGGCAAGTCAAGCTTAGAAATAGCTATATCTGTTTGAGCCACATCCTCCCATGTGAACACACTGAAAGGATGGAGAATCCAACTAGCTAACATGTCAGGTCCAAAGCCTGAACTGAAGATGATTCCTCTGCTCCAACTGCAAAGGCAGGGATGACTGCTTCCTGTTTTAACACCTCAAAAAATGCTACTTGCTCACATTGTGCACAACAAACCCCTACAAAGCAGGAGACCAGAGCAAGATCCCTCCTCAAATCCAGACCCATGGTTCTTACCCAGTACTGCTTGCTACAGAATGCCTCAAAGCTTCAAGGTATTCCTAACTGGACTTTCTGACTCCATCTTCTCACAGATTGGATCAAGAGAGCTGCTGGGCTGATGTTTCAGAACCCACCCGCCTGTCCAAACAGCTTGCAAGATGGTGAAAAGTGTTGCTGTTCACTCACTACTTGACAATCTCCCTTTCCAAAGCCCTCTCCTCCCGGCAGTACCAAGTTGGGAAACGTGAGCTCCGTTACAAGAGTGTGCTAAGTCTGGCTCTGCAGACATAATCCTCCAAGCAGTGATCCCCTGGCAGTTGTGTGCCCCACATTCACTGCTGGATGCTGGAATGGGGTCCCTGCAGAGGTCCAGAGACACTGCTGTGAGTGCAGAAGTGTGCACACGTCAACCCACATTCCCCTCCGTGAACAAACACAGGAAAGACCATCAGGACCACGTGCAGGAAGAACTTATGGAGTGCAGGATGGGGAGGATGGAGCGCATCCAGAAAAGCCAGAGTTTTCTAAATGGCACACTTCTGCCAGCTTGGAAATGAGGGATTGCAATGCAACTTCAGCCTCTTCTGTCTGAAGCACAGAATGGCCACACCACTGACACCAAACAAGACTTACACTAAGGTGGAGTATTGCACCCAGGGACAGGTCCTCTTCAACAGGTGGACTTCTCCTGTGCCACAGGGCAGGGCTGCTGCCAGTAGCTCAGGGCGAGATGGAACAAAGACTGCCTGCAAAACTCTGGAGGAGAAGGACTGACAAGCATAAGGAAGACCTGGGAGAGCATACAACAGCAGAGGGGGCGGATGGTGATGTATAGGTCATTGACTGGTGTAAGAAGGCTGCAAAAAAAGCAAGGTTCCTAGCTAGCCTCTCCTGGAAGCACCAAAATACATCACCTCCCTCACCTCGGAGCCCATCGGTCCCTACACACTATAACACCCTGCCACCAGGGGACACACTGTGAAGGGAAGAGAAGGGAGTGGAGGTGACAGGTTGATCAAGACCTTCGGGTCCAGCATCTTATCATCTGCAAAGCCCAGATCCTCGCCACTTCTCCAGCTGAAGGGCCAGCATGCTCCCCGTTCTGGCCACAGCAGCTTCTCCACAGAGCAGCAACAGCTGCATCCCATGACGCTGTGGCCTCTGCCCTGCCAGATGAGCACCGCTCCAGCAGCGTTTCACCTGGGCCACAGCTCTTGGTGGTGGTTGTGTTTGTGTACTCAGCACAGCATTCACATGGGCCTGAGATCTGCATGACACTACATCCCCCGCCCCCTGCACATGCAAACCATCCAGATGCGTGAACAACACAGGTCTGACACAGAGTCACTCTAAAATGGGATCTCTCAACATCTTGTGCACCCTGGGGATCCTCCTCCCTTCCCCCTCAAGGAGAGTCTTCAATCCTTGTGCACTGTTGCCTTTAGCATGTTTTTTTTTTTGTTTGTTTTTTAAAACATGTTTTGAGGCTTCTATTAAAACACAGAAATACAGAACAAATAAAAACCAGCACAAGTTTTGCCTTTCCCAGCGACCTATTTACAGCTAGTTCCAAAAACCCTCTTGCACATTGTGGTTGCTTAATAAGGAAGGGGAAAAAAAAAAAAAAAAAAAGGAAAAAGGAAAAAGAGAGAGGGGAAAAAAGGGAAAGAAAAGCACTTGACAGAGGAAAACTGTAAGTGAAAACTTTACAAACTGCCACAGGGTCTGGATGTCCCTAGTCTCCACTCAGGGTTCAAAGAAACAGCCCCACTCCCAGCCCCTCCACCCTCCCCTTCCCCAAAAAAGAAAGGAAAAAGAAACCCAATTCACATCAAGTTTACTGCACATATGGTTTTCTGTGTAGAGGCGAATCCGATATGAAAAGCATTCCACGTGGTGTCCTCCACTGGCATTGGCCCCCAACCCTCCCTGCAGAAAGGTTTAAAAATGTTTGTAGAGGCAGCCCAGTCCCCTCCCCAGCCCTGAGAGCCAGCCGGGGTTAGAAAGGCAAGTTCGCCATGTTCCCAGGCCCGGGGATGTAACTCATCTGGCTGTCCAGGGAGACACTCCTCTGCCTCATCTGGTGCGTGACCATGAGGTTCTGCTGAGGCGGGGGCCCCATGAGAGAGCCCTGAGGTGACATCATATGTCCTGTTTGGGCATACATCTCCCCCGACACAGACATGCTCCTCTGTTTGGCCTGCATCAGCATGAAATTCTGCTGGGCCATCAGGCTTTGCTGTGGAGACATCATGCCCTGGTGCATGCTGTTGCCCATCATGCCTTGCTGGGGTGGTATGCCTGTCCTGCCCAGCATGGGCATTTGTCC